TTATTTCTCTAAGGCATCTTGGTTGTAAACCTTATTATTCTGACATCACAAGGAGGCTCAGAAAGGAGGCTTGCCTAATTATATACAGGTAGCGAGATGTGGGGCCAGATTTTAAAATCCTGTCTTTTCATTTTGAGCTCCGGTTTTCCTTTATACATTTTCAAGGAACACAACATTGTCTTAGAAAACAGGACTTTCACAAGGTTCTCAGAGTTCTTTAGCCCAGTTCTGCAACCCATGGGTCAAAGTTGTGCTGTGGAAGCCTGCCCTTGTCAGGTTTCTGCCGGGAAGCAAGAATAAAGCTTTCTCCCTCGCGGGGAGGCACAGAGCCTTTATGCTCTTCAGAGAATGTTGCAGCAGTCTACAGAATAAGAAGGAGAGAAATGAGCTGATTTTTCTTTGTCGCAATAACGAGATGGGTGGATTCCCAAAGTTAATGGTACCCCAAATGTGATGGAGCAATTGGCATAGCCATGTATACGAAGTTTTTCTGCGTCTGCTCCTTAGGACAAATCTCAAAGCAGACAAAAGCTTCAGCATGAAAGGCAAGAGAGCAAACACTAAATGCCAGGAACCCGTCAAAGGACTCGGAAGCCTTGGAGATCAGTGCTTAGCTCTCCTTTTAGAAGCTGTTCTCTGAACTAAGGTCAGCATTCAACCCACCTTTGCCTTTGGAGTCAAGTCATAAGAGGAAAGACAGATGTGTCATCTACCATTAATGAACTCAGAATCTGCCACTTGTATTAGTAAATTTCTTGATGCAAAATACTACTAGAAGCTGAATGTCGAATAGGTAAATTATCACTTGGATGTATTTCAGCCCTGTAAATTCATCATCTATTATTCATGTGCAAATAGCAACCAGGTAGGGTTTTGCTCCATCCACCACAGTGGGTTGGAGATTAATAATTGTTCCACATTACTTTTATTATTTTTTTAACCTTTGCTCTTCTTTCCATCTCCCAACTCATCTACCACTGACAAGAATTTTGATTCAGTGGACAGAGAATTTGATTCTAAACTCCATATAATACTTCATATCTATTATAGCATTACTGTGTAGCAACATTGCCCTGAAATCTTTTAGCAAATATTTAAATTCTTAAAACACTTTCTGTAGGCATAAATTGTTTGAAATCAACACATTTAAACATTTGCAATTAAACAATGATGCATTTTTGTATTCTTCAGAATTTTAACTTTGCTCTCAATTTTTTTTTTATAGAATTGGAGGCATTACCAGTTATTGTGTGTGTTGATTGTATGTATGCAGGTATGTATGCTTTAAAGAGTTCAGGAAGCAATGGATCCCCCAGTAATCCTAGGAAATAGAATTGTCCTACATATATGACTTTGCCTACTTCAGAACCATAGCTTCTGCAATGCTGTTCTCCAAGCCAGCTATTCTTCACCCAGCCTTTTTACCTCAGTCTCCTCCTTTGAGTATTCATACAAGTGAGGCCATAACACAGTTTATCTCAGTTTTACCTTTCCAAGCCAGAACTTGAACTAACCATCCTCAGTGGCACTTAAGAAGAAAACTTTTCTGGGTTTCCTAATCTTAGAAGTCTCAATGCATTCTGAAGGTGCTGCTTTTGTCTGTGAGCTTCATAAACACCTGTCAACTACCTTCATAAGGACAATACCAGCCTGATATATAACTTTCATAAACTTCTCCTGCCTTTCTAGATAAAATGTACTTGGCTCACATTTTTTCCCAACTCCTCTCATTTGCCATCAATCTGTCCATGATATCATTTCTATCCTTTGCTCCTCCTTATTTATTTATTTATTTTTGTCTTTTTGAGACACCGTCTCACTATGCAGTTCAGGATGGACTTGAGCTCACTTTGTTGCCCAGGCTGGTCTCAGACTTGATCCAAATGATACAGAATTTCACAGAATCTTTTTTTTTTTTTTTTCTTTTTCTGGTACTGGGAATCGAACTCAGGACCTTGCACTTGCGGGCAGGAGCTTGTGCCACTGAGCTATATCCACAGCCCACCTTTGCCCCTCCTTACATCAGTCACACACATTTACATCTATTTCAGGACATTTAAAGGCAAGGGGATCACATTATCTAAAAGAACCACTCCATGATGAAGATATCAATTTCACTGCGTTCTTCTGATAACTTCTTTTCCTGACTTTATGCCTTCACTACTTGCAATAGTCATCTCCCTCCTAGCCCTGCAGCCCCGCAGCCCCACATTTCATCCAGCCCTTGATTTTCTTTTCACTTTTCATGTTCCCTTTGTTCAATCAGTGACTGGGTTTACTTTTCCAGAGAGTCACTCTCTAATTTAAACTATCCAATAGTATGCTAAGATCTATGATGTACAGAGGAAAAGTGATATGTGATTTTTGTCTATAAACATTTTATAACCAATTCAGGAGATAAATTCATGTGCATTTCCTTTTCAAAAAATGGCAGTAACCTTTGTTTTGATTTAGCTCAGAGTTAATATGGTCTTCTTTCCAGTTATCCGGGTGGTAAACTACAAACTCCTTCTCCACACTCGAAAATACCTTGCCTCAAATGCTTAGACATCCTAACAGTTCTGTTTCTCTGGAGACCTCTGAGTACCACATGCCTTTATATTGTATGCATAGACCAACATGATAAAATAAAAGTCTTTGATGCAGAAATCTCTCTTATTATGATATCATCAAGAAATATTTTGTTGCTTGGTTCACTTAACATACCGATAGCATGGTTCTCATTATTAAAACCTCACTAAAACAAAAAAAAAACCCTAATTATAGTATTAATAATTAAATATTTGGAAAAATTCAATATATTGGTCCCATTGCAGTAAACTGAATTAACTGTTCCTTCTCTCTAGCAGTAGAATTCTCAACAGAAGTAGATCATTTTAACTGTGGAAAATGTTTTAAATAAAAATATTCAAAAGTTCACATCTCCATCCCTGTATATTCACCTCTCACTTATACTTAATTTTTCAAAAGATTATGGGATTTCTGTTTTATTTTATAGAGAAAAAAACATCAGAGCAACATCAGCACATAAACTAGAGCAGATACTGTCTACATCTTACTCAGGACCCGTCACCTTCAATCTAAGATAGACAAAGACTTTTTTAGCTCATAGGAAAACACGATGCTGGCTGCATATGATTCATTTCTCAATGTAGGAAGATAAAAGAACATACTGTTTGTGTGGTTTTTGCTTTGTTTTTCTGATTTAAGTCATTTTAACTTTTTGGCAAACTGATCATAAATAACTCCAGTATAATCATGTTAGTAAAGTAACTGTAATTGGAAACAGAGCAGATCTCATGCAGAGGAGAGGGCAACAAACCAAGTAACAGCAGGAGGAGACCTGGGAGGAACATAAATGAGTTTAAATCTGCAGCGCCTGATTATTTCCATAACAAAGTGTTTATGAAATTATCAGGGTCTTTATGGGTCAACTAGCTGTTGTTTTTGAGAATTTGCACAAGATTTGACAGGACTCAGAAGACAGGAAAGGTGATTCTGCTTCAGAAAGGAAAACTGGGTTAATAACCTAGACTATAGAGTAAAATAGTTATTAACTTGGCTGGGGAGAATAGTCAGAGAAAGTCACACCAAAAATGATTTGGAAGATCTTTAAGGAACAAAGGACAGTGAGCAACAATGTGCCTGTTATCTTAAGTAACGAACATTAAGTAATAATTCAAACTCTGATAAAATCATGGTCATGATATATTAGGGCAGAGATGCAGATTTTAATTTCTCACAAATTTACTTAAGCTCCTGGATGACATTCTTTGTGAATATTGCAGAAATGGCAGCTATAGTACCTGCTTATTCATGAAGGAAATAAATGGAAAATGAGATTTACTCCTCTTCTCCCCAACAGTATAATTTCTAGATAAGCAAAGGGATGGGAGAGGGACCCTACCAAAGCGATATTATGGTACAGATACATATTCAGAGTTGGCATTCAAACACTTTGAGATTAAATCCTCATTCTGTTTCTTACAAATAGCATCATAAGGAACTTATACAATCTCCCCAAGATTCACTTTCTTCATCTATAAATTAAGAATGATAACAGAAACAACTAATGAAAAATAGAACTTAGTATAGTGCTTGTTGAATTAATGCTAACATTAGTAATTTAACAACTGATCAATCTATGTATCTTCCTAATACATTGTGAGTCCTTCAAGAATAAAGATTATAGATTTCTCTTCACATGACCGCTGTGTATAGTACAGCCTAACGCAGAGTACAAGCCTGGTATTATTATCAGTAGTTCATGGTTGGTGTTCATATTTCACACTTAAAAACTTACTTACATGGGCAGATATTCCCAGTAAATGGTAAAGAAAAAGAGTCAAGAATTGGACATGAGACAGTTGGAAGAGGTGTGAAGGAAAAGGATTCATCTCATCAGACTGGAGGGAAGGCCTGCTCTCCACACGTCAAGAAAAGTGAGAGTCTAACATGGAAACAGGTAGGTTAATAAAACGGCAGTAGAAGCAGGAACATAGGTGTGAGCTTTTTCTTGACAAAAGCACCAGCTCTTTTAGCCTCTTTTATACGTTCTATTGGGATCATAGATGTTTACAAGAAGAAACTGCAACATGCTGGTAGACAGAAGTACTATTACTGTACAACTATTTTATGACTAGGTAATAAATACAAAGCCTGGAGTCACATAAGGGCTTTTATACTTAGAAAAACTAAAGGGGAAATAAAAAAACCATCTATTCATTATTTCAGCAAAATCTGTGGAAGTTTATTGGGCACGAGGTGTGAAGGATGCAAACATACAGTCCTTACTTTATGTTCTGTCTGTCGGAAAATTGCAGTAGGCAAACATGTACCTAAAAGCTAGAGAAATGCCCCTGAGTCAGTGCCCTGAAGTGCCCTGAAAAGGAAATCTTAGAATGACAGACTTGACAGAGAAAGTGAGAGCATTGGTATACAAGGTGGATAGGTTATTGAGAGCAAAAGGAAGAGTGTCAGTTACCAACCTGAGCCTACACACAGCACCAATACTTTGCCCCCTTGCCTGGAGTATGTTGCAGCTCTGATCTAAAATTTAGAACTCTGTGTAGCTTTTGTGCAAGCTTACTGAAATTTCTCACTTTCAAGCTTAGGCTGTGTTAGGTAATGGAGATTGCTGAGTATTTGCCTTTATTGTGCTACCTGGCTTAATAAAAAGGAGGAGCATCTGACAGAGCAGTTATCATTATCAACTCTGGAAAAATCTTCAGGAATATTTCTCTGTGATTGATACTGTATTCAAGTATCCTTGAATTTTTTTCTTTGGCTTGAATAATGGGAAGCAGTTATGCTTACTGAATCTAGAAATGAAAGAAAACCCAGAGAATTAGACTTTTCACAATGGTGATGAAATCTGATAGGGATTAGAATAAACTTTGCTAGTATGTAAGGACAAATATTAGCATACTTAGAAAAGTCAAAGTAAAGAATAAGAGCTTATGTCTGCTATGTATTTAAAAATATGGTGAAAAATATATTAGAGCTATAGTACATTTAACAATCATACGTACTATGAATTGTTAAAGTTTCTTTTGTTTTTTTTTTTTTGTTTGTTTTTTTTTTGGTACTGGGAATTGAACTCCTGACTTTGCACTTGCTAGTCAGGTGCTTAAGCCACTGAGTTATATCCCCCTCACTGAATTGTTAAAGTTTGAACATTAGGGAGAAAAAAAAGATCACATTAGTTGGTAGAAAATCCAGTGGCCCACTGTGATGGTTGACTGATTGTGTCAACTTGGGTAAGAGAAGCTTAACTAAATCGACTCAGCAGTTTCACACCCTACAGTACGGAAGTCCCACCTTAGACCACTTAGATGGTATAAAGGGGAAATGAGGAAGGATGGACCTGCTTCTGTTTCTTCAGAAAGCTCCAGTCTTCACTTTCACCTTGGACATCATCTCTGGCTTCCAGATCAGACCCATTGGCAGCCTGATGTGAACTTGCAGGGTACCTGTAGTGAGCTCCAGACCTTGTACTGGATCTTTCAGTCTCCAGTGTACGGACACCCTCTGCATGCTTCCTCATCCAGCTCTTTCGTGTGCCTTCAATCAAAAATTAGTCCTGACAATACAAACAAAGATATCAGATTAGGCAACTGCTTTTCAAGATCCCAGAATATTTGCCCAAAAGGAGAAATTATTCCAGCTCAATCTTTCTTCATGGTGATACATCACAGCTATAGGGGTGCAGAGTGGAAAATAACTACATCTGCTGACTTCAACAGCCTCGGACAACATGATCTCTTCCTCAGCTATAGACAGAAAACTGGAAAGCCATTGCTTGAATATTTCCACATTAACTGAACTGTCCATCCTACCTAAAACACCCATCCTACCAAGTTCTCAACAGTAGCAATGAAACAGTGACTTTTGTTTCTACAAAATAAAAATATCCAAGGAAAGCTCTTCAAAGGGATCAAGGAAGTTCTGTGACCCCCCCCCCCCCAGTAAGTTTCAAGGCCCTATGACCACTTGGAATTGTTCTCCAAATACCGGCTCTCTATTTGAGCATAGGGTATATGGATTTACAGCTGATTGGCTTAGATTTAAGTGTGTTCTAAAGCTCATTCAACTCAACAGAGTGCATCCTTGAGACTATTAAGAGCAATCCACTGTATTGAGTAACATGAGCCTCTACACTCCAGAAATTTCAATCTAGTTGAGGAAAAAGATGCATATAGCCAGATTACTTTGACACAGGTCAAACTGAGCAGAGTAAAATGAGGCACAGATACTTAAACGAGTCAAGAGTGAAATTGAATCAATGTATGGAAAGCTTCTTGAAGGTTGGAATTTAAAAAATGTAAAATTCTTTTTTTTGGTAGCTTTTCATACAAAATGTACGTTCACTAAGGGAAATAGAAATAATAAAATAAAAGTCACATAATCCCATCACCTGAAAAAATTAATTTGAGCATTCGTACCAAGACTTTTACCTATATAAACATGAATACTCTTCTAAGAAAATTTAATCATCAGTGTATGTTCCTTGATTCCACCACTCCCCCTATACAATACATAATTATCAATTTTCCATGTCATTAGCAATTTCTATACAACAGATTGGTTCATAATTGTCATATTTCCTTTAGTTCTGATACTGACTCTAGCTGCTTAGATTTGAATAGTAAGAAAATTCTGGCACCATGTCCTAACCAAGTTAGGACTGCTTCAAGCCCTAAGTGATGTCTCTGTAAGTCTAGGTTATACTTCAAATGCCAAATAAGACTGTCTCCTTTCTATACCTCTTTTATTTCTCTTACTATTCTATGATGTAATTACAAATAAAATTTAACTAGTCCTATATTTTTGGGTATTTAGGTGATTGTCAAGTTTTTCCTAAAACCCATAATTCCCTGATGAATATCCTCATGCATATATAGTTGTCATTTGCATAGCTACATTGTTTTTAGTATACGTTCTGCTGAAGTGAGCACCACATAACTATGTTGTTAACAAAACCTTCTAGAAGTGGAACTAGTGAAGCAGAATATATGCAAAATTCTAAGGTGTTTTTTAAAAATTTTGTCAAATTATAGTGTAGAACGTTTAGGTCAATTTAAATATCCTGAAACTGCATATAAATGTACTAGTTTTCTTGCTTTATTTCTTATTCTAGATATTTTTAATTTTTTAAAGGTTTGTTCTCCAATGTGACCTGGTGCATGATCAGTTTCATAATGATTTAAGTAGTTCACCCTGAGACGCAACCGCAGAGGGTGGAGTATGTTGCAAGTGTCCCAGGCCCTCCCAGAAATCATAATATGAGGAGGATAATATCTTAGAATACCTGTAGCACATAGAACACATAAAGATCTGCTATACACTATCATTAATTGTTAATATGCTACACCAGTAGTTACCCATTTATGGTAGACTATCTTTGAATGTCTCAAGATAATTATTCATGTTCTGATTGTCTAATTCTGTCAATTTGCATTTTACATATGTTGACCCTGTGTTATGAAGGAAAAAAGGGTATGTCTTCTTGATGGACTGTTCATTCATTATTATTCATTATTATTTACTCACAATATCTCTATCTACTACTATCCACCCTCATTGTATTATTATTTACTGACAATATCTCCATCTATGTTGCTTTCTCTAAATAATATTTTCTATATCGTAATACAGCTTTGTATTTCGAGGTACCATAAAACTGGGTTTTTAAAAAGTCTAATCTGTCAATCCTTACTAGACGAATGTAATACATTTAAATTATTGAGATTTCAGCTATATTTGTACTTATTTCTAGAATCTTTTTTTGTTTTTGCTTTTTATTAATCTCTTGTTTCTTTTCTTTTTAATCCCTTACTATTCCCTACTTTCACAAAATATTAAATATTTCCTACGTAAAAGTGTACTGGTTTCTAATCTTAAAGTTGAATGTGTGATTAATCATAAAATGTTCTAACAAAGCCTTCATTATTCCACATCCTAATCGTCATTCTGAGACTAACAAGGTGACTGGTAGTATTATCATTACCCCAGTCTCAATGTTTTCTTTCCAATCTTATAAGAAGAATAATAAAAAGGGATTATGTATGATACATATATGTAGTAACTTCCCATGATGAATGCACTCATTTATTGCAATCATGTACAAGGAAAACATTAAAAAATTAATAATTTTTGTTTTAGCAGGCTGGGGATGCAGCTTAACAGTATAGCACTTGCCTAGCTTGCAGAAAGCCCTGGCTCAATCCCCAGCACCGCCAAACAAACAAACAAGGATTTTTTCTGTACAAATAAGCAAGGAATATGTTCTGAACATAATTAAATTTACCAAAATATTTGATCACTTGCCCTGTTTACCATATTTTCTTGTCCCCCTTGCCGTCTGTTCATTTTCCATCTTGCAACGTTAACTGGAGCGTATGAATTATGAACTCTTTGAGGCTAACAAGTCAGAAAATGTCACACATTTGATTCATGCTTGACTTGTAGCTTAGTTAGATACAAACTTAAAGACTGAAAATTATTTTCTATACATATACTGAAAATATTGCATTGCATTCTACAGCTCATCAGCCTAAATTATTTTTCTTTCCATTGCAGGGTTAGAGTTAGAGTTAGGGTTAGGGTTAGGGTTAAGGTCAGCCATTAGCTTTAATTTTTTTTACAATGACATTTTGCAATTTGATGATTTCATTTCTACATAAATTCATAGATGCTTAGAAAAATTTATAAATAACAGAACAAGTTTTACACATACATCAGTCACAAGTAATATTTTTAGAACACTTAGAAAATACAGACAAGAAGATGAAAAAGTCATGTATAATCCTATTACTACAATCAACTATGGATGCAAATCCTCCTTGTCCCTCCTTGGCTGTTTACTTACTTGTTATTTTATTTGTTATATTGTTATGATTGATACATTGTGTCAACTTGAGCAGTGTAGAGGCTTGGCTAAGTGGCTCAGCAGTTCTGCATCCTGGTCTGAAAAGGACATGCCCTTTCATGTTGTTCATTGTGTCAATTTGAGGAGTTTAGAAGGTTAACTATGTGACTCAGCAGGGAGCCAGGGTGCTTACTTTGTATTCATCCTGAGCCTGTGCAAGAGGAGGGCATGGAGATCATGTGAGTGCTACACACCCCCTGGTTGGGGGTAGCCTGCTTACGATATGAGGGAGGAGAGGAGGCTTGTTCTCCCCCACCTCCTTTCTTGCTTTCGTTGCTTTTGCTGTCTTGGGCCACCTTGAAGTGTTGCCCTTGTGCCATGTGCCACCCTGCCTTGGAGCCAGCTGATTATACACTGAAACTTCCACAAACTGTAAGCTAAATAAACCTTCTTTTCCTTAATTTTGGGCTTTGGGTATTTAGTCTCAGCAATGAGAAGAAAGTAACCAAGACATATATTACTTATTATTCACAGTTATTTCAATCCTATGAGTATTTTCTTCAGTTTGAGAAAATTTTTAACACCGATCTCACCAAATATTGCCTTTGTCATCTCTCAATTCTATTCTTCCTGTTTATTTATTTCCTTACTTGCCCTTTCTTTTGTGTTCCTCTTTTGTGTTTCTTTTTTTTATATTTCTTTCTGTGTCTATTCCTGAAGAATATCTTCCAATTTACTGATTTTTCCTCTACATTTTATTCAGTCTATTATTATAATAGAGGGTGGTTCCAAAGATGATCACAACACCACCTTGTGTGTCACAGGATTCTTGCAATTATACTTTATCATTCATGTCAGAAAAAGCCTGAGTCCGTGGTCCTTCCCCATGGGTCTGGGTCAATCCTCGAGTTGACTGACTGGTAGGCTGTGGCAGAACGGGATCTGTATTTACTCCAGTCCTTATAAAGGCCTGACACTTCTGTTTTTATACTCTCTCAAGCAAGCCAGCACTTATGTCTCAAAGAAGCATAGCAGCAGTGAATAACAAGGCATCATATGGAAGAAAAAAAACCACATGGTGGAACTCCAAGGCATGTAGAAATAGATTGCAGTCAGATAAGCCCAAGTGAGCAGTGGCCAGTGTCCTGGCCCAGTCACCCAGGGCTGCTGTTTTCAGAACTCAACAGATTGCAGTCAGATAAACCCAAGTGAGCAGTGGCCAGTGTTGTGGCCCAGTCACCCAGGGCTGCTGTTATCTGAAGTAGCTAAATTTTGCAATAGTTTCTTACACTAAATAAATAAATTTGCAATAGATATAATTGCACAATTATTCCAGTGATTATTTTTCATTTCTGAAATGTATACTCAAATGTATTTCTTATATACTTTTTACATTTTGTATTTGTCTATGTTAATTAATAATTTATTGCCTTTTAAAAATGTAAACTGCCTCATTGAGCTCCTTGATGATGCTAAGGGTACTTAGTTTGCATCTTTCTCCTCTGGAATACACTTCTGTTTTGAATGTGGAGGACTTTTGGTCCATCTGTTCTGGCATTCCTTTCCCTTTTCAGCATGTTACCACAATGGTAGGGGGGCCTGTTTCTGGAGATATTGTATATTTTGCTGATATGGTCACAAAGCAGGAGATGGCTTTGTTCAATTCCTGTTTTTTTGTGTGTTTTTTTGTGGTTTTTTTTGTTTTGTTTTTT